AATGGCTACGGCGCCACTGGGGGCAGCCGCTCCTTGGGCCCCGGGGCTCGACGGCGCTGGGGGCGGGTGGGGCCGCGCTGGTCCTGGGAAGGCGGCCGGCTCCCACCGGCTCCTCTCCAGGCTCCTCCGCGGAGCCGCCGCCCAGACGTGCGAGGGTGAGGCGGAACGAAGGGCCGGAGAGGCTTCCAGCCCGAAGGCAGCGGCACTTTCCCGCCAGGAGCCTCGGCCTCCCCAGCCCCGCGTGGCATGAAGAAGCCGGGGCCCCGACAGGCTCCGCTTCTCCGTCCGAGCGAGCCGGGCCCCCTCCGCCTCCCGCCGGCCTCGTCGCTGCGGAGCTGCTGGGAGGGGGGGGGGAGATGCCGAGCGGCCTGGAGGAGCGAAAGCTGAGGCTCTGGCTACCGCCGGGGCTTCTCTGGCCCCCTTCACAGCTCTTTGAGACCCCGGCCCCTCCGCCCTTCCTGCTTCAGTCTCTGCCGGGGCTTCCCGGTCCCATTTCTCGGCCCGAGGACCGCGATCGCTGCTCCGGAGCCTCGTCTGAGGAGGCGCCTCAGGTGTGAATCTAACCGCCCCCCACCCGCATTTGGCTTGTGGCCTTGGGGGTCCCGTCGCTCTCTGAAACCGCCCCCTCCCTTCTTTGCTTGGGGTTCTGGCCGCAGGGGGGTCCGACCTTGGCCAATTGAAGACCCCTGAACTTCAGCGCCCAGAATTCCCCCAGCAGCAGAACTGGACGGAGCCTGATCGGAACCGGGTCCCGTTGCACGTGGCTCTACAAAACTCTCCGCGGGGACTGCTTCTCCCAGCGGGGCTTCTGGCTTTGCAACCCCCTCCCCAGAAAATTCAGCCCGGGCGGATGTTGGCTGAAGGGCTCCTTTCTCCCAAAGCCTTCCGAGGTTTCACTGATACTTCACCATGCTGGCATGAAAACCAAGCCTGACCTAGCATGGCTATTGGCCTGTTTGAGAAGTGGTGAATGTTCTAAACCCCAGAGGTAAGCAGGGTCACCTGGTCCAGCCTCTTCTTAAAACACCTTCCAACTGTCATTGAGGTGGGAGGGGTCACCAGGGGACAGGGGTCAACCCCCCCCCCCAAATTCCCCCCTCTGTTGCTCTCTGGCATTGGAGGACTGGAGTCTGCAGCCTCCTGGCCAGATGGCTCCTCTGTGCGCTCTCTGTGGCTCCCAGCCTCCAGGGAATGAATAACACAACGGAAGGGACCTTGGAGGTCTTCCAGTTCAGCCCCCTGCCATTAGAGAGAATCTCCCCTGAACTGCTCTGAAGCCTAAGTTCCCCCCACCCCCAGATCCCCCAGGGCAATTCTACCACCTGCCGGGGCTTCCCTCCTGAGACCCCTTCAATGTCCCTGCAGTGAGGACCCACTTTCAGGCTCCCTCACCACCCCAAGTTGCCATTCTCGGCTGGGGCGTTGGGGGGGGGGTGTTTAGACGTGTGACTTCTTTCACCTCCTCCCAGCCAACCAGGTTGCACGATTCTAAATTCATATTTTCCCCACAAGTGCAGAAGTTGACATTTGTCCCTGTCAACCCTCATCTGTTTTGTCTCACCCACTTTTCATGGCCGTCCTTCCCCTCCTCTCACTCACGTGCCAGCCCCCCCCCCTCCTTCCTTCCGATGGGATTCCTGAGAGCCTCTCCTGCCTTTGCAAAGCTTCCGGAGGCCAATTGAATGACTGTGTGCCAGTCATCCGCTCTGAGCCCTAGGAAGGAGGCAATGGCAAAGCCCTTCTGCACAACGGTGCCCAGCGGTCTCTGAGAACCCGACACGACCGAAGGGAAGGGGGAAATAGTGGGGCACAGGATGGGCGGCTTCCTTCGTCCAGATTTCGTGAACGGATCCTATTTGGCTGGGATTGCAGGACGTACAGAATCCTGGTGTTCAAGGCAGCTGCGGGGGCTGAATTTACACGCCCGTGTGGCTTGAACACCAGGGCCAGAGAGCCCCCATAAATCCAGTCTGTGACTCACCCAGCCTCTGTCGAACTCTGCCCGAGAGGAGCTGCCGAGGCCTCTGGGCCCCTCTGCCAGCAGGGGTGGGGGTGGAGATGCAGTGCAGCTGTGGGCCCCCCACCCGAGATCCGAAGTTCTACAACTGCTTGTTGTGCCTCGGTTCTAGAAGGCGGCCTCTGGAATGCCCGGGCCAGCCGGTCACTGTGGAAACTCCTCTGCCCAGAGCAACAAGGCACCCCTTGGAGTGCCACTCCTTGTGCTTGGCCAGTGGCAGCACCCACCCAGAAGATGAGAAGGGCACCGTGCTAAGAAGGACCCACGCGCTGTGCTTGCCCCCCCTTGCAGAGCTGATGTGCTTGTCTGAACTGTGCTTCTGCCGGCCTCGCCCCCAGCCCTGCGGCAGCCCCCCCTCCAGCAGCCCCCTCAGCCCGGCCCCCGTGCCCCCCCCTCCTGGGTCACTTCGGGGCCATGAAGAGCTTCTCGAAGCGCGAGGCCGACCGGAGGACGTTCTTGGAACAGGTCCGGGAAAGCAAGGAGAATGGCTACCTCCTCTCTTCCAAGAAAATCGGGTCGGGGGCTTTCTCCAAAGTCTACCTGGGTTACGCCACCCAGGAGAAGATGATGCAGAACTACAAGCTGGCTTCAGACCTCAGGAATAAGCGGCACTCCATGGTGAGCGGGAGGGGGGGGGGCTCGAAGGAGTGGGAGGGGCCGGCCCAGGTGAGACTGCCCTCCTGCTTGTGCCCCACAGCCGTCACCCGCTTCCTCTCAACAGCTGCCTTGGACAAAGGCAGGTTGATCTGGAGGTAGTTGTGCAATATTTTAACCTATCATGGGAAGAGAAGGATAGGACAACCCGGAGGAGGGTGGGGGGCTCATAAGTGGAGGAGGGGCACTGTTGGACCTCCCAAAGGACCCGGTTGGGACCCATCCTCCCAGAGGTCTCTGTGAGCCACGGACAGTCAAGACAACTCAATGACGCCTCTTCAGCCCTACGGAAGAGTTTCCAGCCAGTCAGTAAATGAAGGTGGTGCTGCTGCCCATCATTCTCGGTAAAAACTCTCCCTTCCTGCCCCTGTGGGCCGGCTCTTCCTTCCCCTGCAAGAGCCCCCTTCCCAAAAGGCCTCCTCCAACCAGGGAGATGGATGGGCTGCCCCCCACCCCAGGAGAAAATCCTAGCAGAAGAGGAGGGGCCTTGGCCTCGACTGCTCAGCTGATTCTTCATCATTTAAAACAGGGGTCTCCAACTGGCTGGTTGGGGAATTCCCAGAGTTAAGTCCACAGGTCTTAAAGTTGCCTTTTGAAAATTGCCTTTTGGATTCTGGGAATTAAAGCGAACAGGTATTAAAACAGTCCAGCTGCCTTTTGAAAAAGCACCTTTGAAACTACCCGCACACGCGTGCTGCTTGTACGCAGCAGGGGAGATCGCTCCCTTACACCGACCTGTGGGGGAAGAAAATATTTATTGGAAAGTTGCAGGTAATAGGCCTAGGAGTGAGCTTGCAGGCCTCATTGTATCAAAGTTTTAAACTAGCGTAATTGCAAAGGGTACCAGACTAATATTTCCGAATGTGCTGACTTGCGCTGCATTTTCTGCAAAGTTTGTACTTGTATGGATATACAATGTATATCTAATGTATTTAGAGCAGGAAAAGTAAGATGGTGGGAAATGAGGAACCGAAAGTAACAAGTGTCTTCACTTGTTCACAAGAACGTCAAATGTACACAGGTGTTTGCGGAGAGAGGCGGTCAGTAAGGCAGAACAAGGAAGGAAGTTGTGAAATGCGTGCAGAGAAGTATAAAAAGATGGTCTTGGGAAGAGTTGAGGGCCGCTGGCCGTAGCTCATCCTTGCTGTTCATGAAATAATAAGCCTCTGGTCTTAAAGTAAGATTTATTGCTTGTGGTTTCCATATGGGGAAATTTTTACAACAGACCCCTTTGTGAATATCCTGTGGTTCCATCAGGGATGTCTTGCCACCTTCCGTGCCAGGACAACAACTTCCTCCAGTTCTGTGCAAAAGCTGGAGGTCCATTGGAAGAGAGAGGCAGCAAGCAGCCTGCTCCGCCAGAGACCTTCCACTACCTGGATTGGTTACGCTTGTTAGCACAAGGGCTGTGTGTGTGTGTGTGTGTGTGTGTGTTTTCAACTGACAGTCCAGGAAGCCCTCCAGAAGGTGGCTAAATGGACGGCCAGGGCCGCAACTGCTAAGCTTTTAAACTGCCTACATATTTTGGTAATTTGTTTTACTGTTGAAACTGATCGCCTTCTGTTTTGATTTATTTTAATCGGGTGCCTCTTCTCTTTTCCTGTTGCTCCAAATGCTTA